GCCGTGAAACGTACTTCGTAGTTTTACATCAGCCTGCGTAAATGACTTTTATAATACACATCAGGCCGAGAAACGATCTTTGATGTTAGACAGGACGAGAAATGAACTTCAATGTTATCCAACAGGCCGAGAATCATCCTTCGATGTCAGCCATTATGCCGAAGAACATCTTTCGATGGCTAACATTATTGCACAAATAATAGTTTTGTTTGTGAACCCATCTGTGCGTAGAATAATATGAAACTGTAATGTCGGTAGGGTGAATTGACGGATTGAACGTGGAAGAAATAGAATGGAATTATGTAAACTTCATTCCTCAGACTGTAATGTCGGTGGCCGTAATGTTTCAGGATATATAAATAATAACAGATGATTTTTGTATGAAAGAAATTAATCTCATTTTAAAGCACGCGATGCGTAAACTAATATAAGTCATAAAATCGATGTGATATACTGATAGATTGAATGTGGAAAAAAATTTTTAATTTTCGCATATATTAAAAAAATTTTTAATTTTCGCAATTCCAAACCAAACCAAAAATAAATTATTGGCCAAATAAATAAAAACCAAGAATAATATAAGACCATCAGATAGAGATAATTTATTGATGCGGCGAATGTCGAAAATTTTCAATGTTCCTACGTAAACTTCACTCCACATTCCGGAGCATCGTAAAGATTCTGCGACTTTAAATAACTTTAGATCATCCTTATGTATAGAAAAATTGTATTCATAGTGATTCCGGCTATGCGTAAAACATTATAAGGGTATCAGGTCGAAATAATATATTGATACTGTGAATGTCGAGAATTTTCTAGGAGCATTTGTAAATCTCATTCCATTTAACGGAATATCGTAATATTGTAGGACGATAAGAAATGTTAGAACATCGTTATATATTATAAAATTGGGTTCATATCGAACACCGCAATGCGTAGAATAACAAATGACCATCACATCGAGGTTATATACATACACAGACACAGACACAGACATATACGGTGTGAGAATTTTTGAAGGAGCATGTGTTATCTGCATTACACTTACCGGAACACCGTAATATTTCAGTGTCAATAAGTATTATTAGATCATCGTTATGTTTTTAAGAATGGGCTCATAGCGTTCCCTCCGAGGTTTAGAATGATATAAGACCATCAGATAGAGATAATATATTCATACAGTGAACGTTGCAATTTTTCAATGAGCATATGAAAACTTCACTTCTCGTACTAGAACACGTAATGTTTCGGGCTTGGTAAATAAAATTATATGGAGGTTACGTATTAAAATACTGCGTTCACAGTTACTCCGCGATGCGTAGAATGATGTCAGACAATTAGATCAAGATAGTGATATTAATCTTTGAAAGAGCACGTGTAAACTGAGTACCTCGTACCGGAAGTACTTAGTAATACTAGATTAAGAATACTGCAATAAAGAATACTAGATGATCGCGTATAAAAATATTGTGTTCATAGTGATCCCTGTATTGCGTAGAATAAGACCACAAAATCGACTTGATATATTGACAGAATGAATGTCGAAAATTTTGAATGGTCATAAGTAATGCTTTTACCGCAACGGAGAATCGTAGTAACTCAGGATTAATAAATAATATTACATCTTGTTGCATATTAAAAAATTGTATTCATAATGACCACTGCGGTGGACAGAATACCGGAAATCCGTAATACGTAATACGTAATACGTAAGATTAGATCAATAATTTCAGATGCTATTTGTAAACAAAAAAATTGTGTTCATAGAGATCAACGCGCCGCGCAGAATAAT